AGCCTCAGAACTACGGGCGAGGCCAAATCATTAGCGGATGTGCTTGCAAAGGATTAATGGATATAAGGCCAAGCCTAGCTAAAACTACCTCCTAATAACTTTTAGATTTGTTGCCATGGCAAAAATCTACAGTCGTGTAGGAGTTTATGCATGAATTAAAGATCTGAAAGTACATGAACACTTTCTTGCATAGCTATGAGATTCCCCTTTCACGAGACCAGTTAGAGTGCGATTACTCATATGGGAAAGTTTCATATAAAAATAATGTGTAGCTCAGAAAATTTAAGTAAAATATGAACTAGATTAATTCAGAAAATCCATATTTCTAATGTGTGGGCTCAAATCACATAAGTTTAAATAATCTTCTGCTTTCTTTCCCCGACATGAATACTTTTTATAATCCTACCACTCAGCAAAATCTTTCACCATTACTGTATTAAAATGAAAAAAATCACAAATTATGTTCATTGGAAGTTTTCTTACTAGGTGTTATGAAATGGGTAAAGCTACTTTTGCTTATTTGTGGTATTATTGTTACTAATTCATTCCAAATTAGTTCGCAGCCTAGAGAATCACTTCATTAACAGGATAATCTTTATTTTAATTATGGCCTTTACTTTTTATTAATTATAATCGATTTTACTTTTTTCAGCCCTCTGAATTGATGGGTTGCTTGATCACACTTTTAATGTTCACTATTAGTCTCGAGACTCTACTTACATACAAAAAATACTTTAATAATATAAAGCCTTGTGAATATCTTCCACAGGCCCTTATCAAAAATGTTATCATCAGGTATGCCTCAAGAGCTGTAAAGCAAATCAGCTCAAAATTTTTGTTTATACTTTGTTCCTCTGATTTTTGGGGGTCTTGTTGCAGGATTCGTGCAATGGAACTACATGGAGTTGCCTGTCAAGAGTAGGCATTACTTCGTGTTGAGAGAAGTCAATCTCTGAGTCCTGCATGCCTGAAGGGTAGAGACAAGCACACAAGAGAGTCTGAGAAGAAACTAGCAGATACAGACAGAGTTACTTGCAAACGAGGGCCAAAGAGGGAGTGATGAAGATGAACTTGTACGCACATACTCGTCCAATTCTGGCGGGAGTGCCTAACAGGCTGGAGATAGAGCAACAGGACAACAAGAACAGCAATAAGAGACTTGAAGGCAAATGGAAAAACGTGTTTAGTAGAGACGAGATTATTAGAGTGGCCGGACATTGGATCATAAAGGTATGCAAAAACAGCGCAGCTTTTTGACTATTTTATATGAAGAAAAGATGTCTTCAGGTAATAGGGGTAGAGAAGAGAGCACGATTAAGTGTGAGAGAGAAGAAGACAAAAAATATGTGTGAACGCGTGTGTCAGACGAAGGAAGAATCTCTCTGAAAGGCGGGAGTCATAGAGGACTGGCCGGAGAGAAGTTTCTCGACCGGCTTCTACGGAGTGAAGAAGACCAGCTGCCTTGGTTTCTTCACATCCCATTCTTTTTGCCTGCCTAACGGTGTGGTGTCTCGATCAAGAGAGACTACTTAGTCATACTACTCTCATCTACAACCTTTATTTACTCGGAGTCGTAGTGACTTTGATAGCCCGTTAACTTCACATAGGACGGAAGGTATCTGGGAAAACCAATAGAAGGATACAGCGAAGGCAAGGCGGCCAAATCGTCAGAATCCAGTCAAATTCTAACAGAGTCCATCTCAATTTGTGGACCGTCTCGTTGCAGCTTCATGCCAATAGGAAGGACTGGTATGGTTTCAGGGAGTAGGGGTCTTGCTCGTCGAGAGTCTTGCGCCTGCGATCTCTACTTCCTTCGCCTCAAGGACAGCAGCAGTTTAATCGCGGTCGACGCCAACTTGCTTGACTCTGCGACGGACTATTTCAAGAAAAAGGTGAATCACGACTATCAGCTGAGCAATTTGAGTACAATTGACCTGCACGAGGTGAGACGAAGTCTATTCGACAATCTACTGTATTGTCTGCGCAAAAAATGCTTTCCAGACCAACAGTTTCCGGACAACCAATCGAAGATACAGGCGGCTTCAGAGGTTTTCAATCTGTCCCATCAATTGAATGTAAGTTATTCAGACCAACTAGCATTGTTCATTGGGCACATCGATGCCATATTTTTGGTGCTTCGGCTCAGAGCTGTTCAATTATGGACTAATCATCTTCAACCTAATCATGCCGAACCGGTGCCAGCCTAGAAGAAGGTATCTTGGTACTACCATGTCTACTACTCTCGGCGTTCCACTGAGCACTGAGAAGATCAATGGATTCATTTTAATTTCATTTTATAAGACAAGTTGAAGGCATTCGCTGAGTGACCCTATCAGAAACCGAATAAGTCTCTTCAATTGTATGGGGATTCGTTTACCACCTTATCGTTGAGATCGCTTCAGTCCTCAGGACCAGTCAAGCAGATGCTCGACATACAAAAAGCCATCTTTATTCAGGTCCTGAGAAAACAAACTGCAAGTTGGCGTTAAACGAACATCATAGGTCGACTATATTAATTAGTTCTTTGGACTTAACAACTGGTAATGCTTAGGCTAGGGCAGTGTATAATGAAATCCCCCAATATAATATTATCTTAAGTAACACTAGGTCGAGTAAGGTTATTTAGTGACCACTTATTTAATTTTACCATAACAAACTGAATATACTAACGATGTAATTGAATTTCACTAGACCTGTTTCCCAAAATATTTTCCTATCCGAGCTAGACTGCCGTTTCGACCTCGCTCATGTCTCATCAGCCCACCTAACGTTATTCAAAACCTGGTCGTCTGCATCATGGTGACACGCAAGTGGTAGTACAGATGGCACATTGAAACTTATTTTTGAGAATAGTAGTTTTCGAGACTATCAGTAATTCTTCAATAAGAATTTGAGTCAATCGGATAGACTCGAAAACCATGTTCATCAGAAATAAATAACTTCTCGCATTGTGCTGGCAAATCTAGTTTGCATCATCCTCAGACCCGCTATGAATGTTTGCTTTAAAGTCACATCGACCCTCTGACCAAATGGCGCCCATGGCTATAGGATTAATTGGTGAATTGTCACCTTTTACCTGTTCTATTTGGTTTCAATTTCCATCGAGGCTACTGACTAGGCCTACAAACAAAGATAGAAATTGAAGTCCAGGCTGTGTGAAAAAACCTTTAAGGAGGCAAGTACGTGTTAGATTCTAGGACATAGTGAGTTATACGCATATCATTGTCGGAAAATCAAACTATTAGTCATTGAAGAACCTTTAGTGGCAAAGGATGATTTGACTCCTTATTCAATACTTACTGATTGTTTCGTAACTACTTACAAAAATATTAACAAAGAACCCCTATTTATTTTATTAACTCTCGGCATAGCAACATTACTAGCCTGAAGCCCAAGGCCAAAATGGACGTAGATCCGAAGATGGGAACTAAAAAGTATCATTACATAGACCCATAGAGTAAAGACTGAGTTGTTGGAATGCAAATAGACGAAAGTGTGTATAAAGCCTTAATTAATAAGACATTCAAGTCACGCCAATTGGAGTATTCTAAACATTTTATACTATCCTAAATAAATAAATGAAATATATATTAAATTATTATCACAATCATCGGAGATAATGTTAGTCTAGATGACGTAAGGCAACAGAATCATTCAATTGGAGGTCCGCTTACTCCGTTTTCGGCGTCTTAAAATGGTCAATATTCTTCACATTTTGCTTCCCTAAGTGCACTAAGCTTTGAGAAACCAACGTTTATTCTAAAATTTTTGCTAATGACAGCTAAAAACCAGATGGGATCCCGCAAAATAGCTCTGCTACACTTAGAGGACTTAAATGCCTTCGGATATTTTACAGGCCTTGATAAGGAGAAAGTGAGTCAGCTGGCTAGATCAGGACGGTAACAAGCAAATACTATTATCAAAACAAGGCTAATTTAGGGATGAGGGAAGCTATACTGACGAAACAAGCCAACATTATGTCTCAGATGATATATGAGATGATATCCAGAAGGAAGAGTTTCATTCACTTTCGCTCTCTGTTCATCCTCTTTTGTAAAGAAATTCATGTAAAACACTTCATTCAAGCATAGGTTTAAAGGTTTTCCTGAACTAAAGTGAACACTGTTTTTTCCTAGAGTTACAATCTCCTGCTTGCATTTTTGTGTCAGTGAGATTAAGGTTGATGCCTTCCCATAACTGGTATAGAACCTTTTCCGAGCCTATTAGAGTGAAAGGTATGCATTTAGATAAGGGGATAAAAATCCTTAATTGAAAGGAAAACCCACTCTCGAATATTCTTGCTTGATAGAGACACTTTTCTGATGATTTTAGAGATAGAAAACTTTGCCAGTAAGCAGGGTCAAGTGGCCAGTCATCTTTATTAGCAATCAGCTAACACCGCGCTCAGCAAAGGAGTAGGTTTAATAACGAAAAAAATATCCAACTTTATCAAGTGACCATTCGATATTTAAGTTGAATTATCAAAAAATTTCTATAATGACATTCAACCTAACTGTCGAACAGTCTTGGTTCGAACTCGCGTTCGCAACTTGATCGGAGTGTCAGTGAGAGCTTGAAAAACGTACTTTGTCCTATATACCCTACCACAGTATTCGTGACTTCCAGCATCAGAACAT